GGAGTATAACTACATGGCTCCCACGACTTGCTGCCGAACTCCTCCCGGTCAGGGCCGGGAGTTCCCCGCCGAGGCCGGGGACGCACTGGCCCGCATCAGTGCAAGCCAGGGTCGACTGGCTTGCAAGATCCTGCAAAATCCTGCAGCATCCTGCGCGCTGGCCCGGCTCGATGCACCCCGGGCCCTGCAGGATCCGGCACGATCCGGCGCTCCGGCTGACCCCCGCTTGCATCGACTCCCGTCTCAAGTCGGCGGCGCGCACAAGGGGTTATGGGGGAGGGGGGAAGGCTGCTGAGGAGGTTTCTCCTTATCAGGCGCCGGCCCTCCACGTATAGACAAGGCCGCGCCTTCTGAGGAGCAGGGGTGCTTCTAAGAAGCACTCACCCATCCCGCTACCCCCCTAAACGCGCGTGGCTGACCCTTTGCGATGACCCCCGCCTCTACTAGCCAGACACCCCCCCTCCTGTGGCAACTCACGGGAGCCTGCCATACCATCGTGCTGGCTCTTGCGAGTGCACGCTAAGTCGACGCTCAACCGATGCGAACCGACGCTAATCGACGCTAATCCCGACGAGGCTCCCGACGCTAAACCGATGCTAAACCCCGTCTCAAGGCTGCCGACGACGTACTGCGCCGCTTGGAGGGTGAAAGAAGGGGTCTGCAACAGGGGGTCTGCAGTGGGGGCTGAAAGCCCCATGTATGCTCAACATATCGCTCACGTATGTGATCGGGTACGATTGGCATCCAATGTTGGCGGTCATGGAAAGCAAGTCGTTCGTGCCCAGGGCCTCGGGGCCCCCGAGGCCCTGGCCCGGTCCCGGTCCTCGCGACGCTGCGCTGGCGACTGCTCCGCCTGCAGCGGCAGCCTGGGGGGGCGCTCCCCGCGCACGCCGCACCACTCGGCGGCAGCCGCCGGGCTGGTCTCTCCACGCTCCACTCCTCCTCCTCCTCCTCCTCCTCCTCCTCCTCCTTCTCCTCCATCTCCTCCTCCTCCTCCTCCTCCTCCTCCTCCTCCTCCTCCTCCTCCTGCTCCCTCCTCTTTCTCCCTTCTCCTTCTCCTCTCCCTCCTCCCTCCTCCCTCCTCCCTCCTCCCTCCTCCCTCCTTTCTCCTCCCTGCTCCCTCCTCCCTCCTCCCTCCCCCCTCCTCCTCCTCCCTCCTCCTCCCTCCTCCCTCCTCCCTCCTCCCTCCTCCTCCTCCTCTCCTCCCTCCTCCCTCCTCCCTCCTCCCTCCTCCCCCTCCTCCCTCCTCCTCCTCCCTCCTTCCCCCTCCTCCCTCCCTCCCCCTCCCTCCCCCTCCTCCCTCCTCCCTCCTCCCTCCTCCCCTCCCCTCCTCCTCCTCCCTCCTCCTCCTTCCTCCTCCCTCGTTCCCTCCCTGCCTCCTCCTTCCCCTCCTCCCTCCTCCCTCCCACCTCCACCTCCTCCTCCTCCTCCTCCTCCTCCTCCTCCTCCTCCTCCTCCTCCTCCACCTCCACCACCCCCTCCTCCTCCTCCTCCTCCTCCTCCTCCTCCTCCTCCCCTCCTCCTCCGCCTCCTCCTCCTCCTCCTCTTCCTCCTCCTCCTCTTCTTCTTCTTGGTATGAGTATTATTAATAGTAATAATATAAATATGTTACAAGTATGCTTCGAGTATGCTTCTTCTTAGTATAAGTAGTAGTATTCCTCTTTCTCCTCCTCTTCCCCCTTTTCGACCTCTTCATGTCTCCTCCCTCCTCTCTCCTGCTCCTTCTTCTGTGCACCGCCTGTCGCAAGCGTGGGTCTGCCTGAACACCTTGTGTGGGTGGGTGGCGCAACCCTGTAGGGGGCCAGTCTCCTCCTCCCCCTCTGCTCCTCCTCAAGCAGGTTCGCGTCGTGACGACCACGGTGTCGGACTCTGCCCCGCGTGGATCGTTCGATCTTTAACGGTTAGCGGTTGTTCGGTCGCCAGATCGTTTCACATTGAACGTTTCTGGGCCACTGGCGGCGTTGATCGGGGATCTACTGACCTGGGTCAACCTAAACATGGGCCAGTCAAGATTTGCAGGATCCTGCAAAATCTTGCAGGATGCTGCGCTGCGAGATTTGGCGTTCTTGATCCCCGTCACTTGATCCCCGAGTTGAATCTTCAATACCCGTGCCAGGGTCACCACCGAGAGGACACGACATGGACCCGTCGTGTAAGCAGCGAGCACGGGTTCGGAGGACGGTGCGGGGCCACGACCTTGCGGAACACTGAAGAGCAGCGCGCTAGCACCTGCAGGCCATCGTGGGCCTGTCGAGACCGCTTCGGGACGCATAGATTGGGACTCAAAGTATCCAGGCGAAGGCAGCATGGCTGATCGGGCTACTGGGGATATTTTTTTTGGTCGGCGGCTCCGAGGCGGCGGACAGGGAGCGGTAAGCGTCGTCTCGGCCAGCAGGCGAAGCAAATTAGCTACAACAGGCAGTGCACCTGCAGTAAAAACCCGCAGAACGCGAGTACGCACATGGAGTAAGCAAAATGCTCGATTAAACGCTGCGGAAGAGTCACCCAGTCGGCGCCAGTCCGCGCAGCCGGCCTGTCCGATTAGACAAATAGGGCCAAAGCGACACGCCGAAGGCCGAAACACCCAGCGCGAGGTACCACCGCCGTGCGCGGGGTAGGCAAAGACTGGGCAGGGCCCTACAAAGCTCTCACTACACGATCCACACCGCTGCCCATGGTGGGGCCGGTGCGTCCGCCATCGCGCCGGAACCAAAAACCGGCCAAAAGGTGGGGACGAAGCGACACGCAGAAGGCAGAACCACTCAGTGCGAGGTTTTAACACCGCCGTACGCGGGGTCGGCTGGGGAACGCAGCGGGAGAGGCGCCCTGTCGGCGCCAGTCCGCTCCGCCAAACTAGCCGAACAGGCAGGTAATACCGAAGCGACACGCTGAAGGCTGCACCACTCAGCGCAAGGTACCACCGCCGTACGCGGGGACGGCAAAAAAAGGGCGGGGACCTACAGAGCTCCCACTCCACGATCCACTCGTTGCCCATGGTGGGGCTGGTATGCCCGCCATCGTCTCCGAAACCAGTCACAGGCCAGGGAGCAGAGATGGAAGCGGACACGCAGGCCCATGCGCCAGTCCTGCCGCCAAGCGGGAAACTGCCGAAGGTCACCGAGGTACGCTGCAGCCGCGGCCAGCACATAGGCACTGGGTAGTCAGACCCGAAACTGACCACAGTGAGAGCCGGGGGACGGCAAGTACTAACAGAGCACTCACTCTGGACCGCACTGCTGCCAGGGGGGGGGCCGGCGTGCCGTCATCGTGTCCGAAGCCAGTAGCTGGTCGGGGCTGCCACGATGAGAGAGGACATGCTGGCTCAAGGGTCGGTATATTGCACTTGCAGGTACCGGCCACGATATTCGCCGAGATTCGCAGCTGCCGCGACCACCTCATGGAGCGCTGCTGGGGATACGCGACTCGAGCAGAATTGAATGTATAACGCCCACAGCGGCACCAGCACCGAAACCTGCTCATAATGGGGATGCGCTGCTGCTGGCCTTCGGCCCCATGCTTGCCGTCTACACTTCGACTGCTCGATCCATGTGTGCGACGCATGGGCTCCCTCCCCCACTCTCCCCTTAACAGGAAGCCATGACGAGGATAAAATCGGGTGAGGATAAATCCAGAAACTCTGTGATCTGGAACGGATCTATCCTCGTCCTAGCCCCGTCCGAGCCCCGCTTCCCGCTCCATCCTTGAGATCCGACGCCTCGAACAATGAACTCGGCGCGACCCCACTCAGGGGAAAGCCCACTGCATGGGCGCATCGCTGGGCGCATTGCTTGGCATGGGTTGGCATTGCTTGGCATTGCCGAAGAAACTGAGAAACCCAAGGCACCCGAGGAACCCGTGGAATCCGAGATACCCGAGGAACTGGGGGAACCCGAGGAACCTTGGGAACCCGAGGAACCAGAGGAAGCAGGGGAACCCGAGGAACCCGAGGACCCCGAGGATCCCGAGGAACCCAAGGAACCCACGGAACCCGAGGAACCTCTGGGCAACGGGCAAAGGAACGTTCCGCGGGGACCCCGAGGAATCCGAAGAACCTTCGAGCAACGGGCAAAGTATCCCCCCCCCGAGGCACCAGCCTTTAACCAAGTAAGAACCCCTCAGTGAAGCCTAATTGGGGGAAAATGCGAGATGGTGAAAAAAACACGACAGAAGCCATGGACCCCATCTTTCTGCCAAAAGTTCGGGTCGGATCGATTTGTTCTGGCCCGGGGGACCGAAGTTGCGCGAAAAAGCCCGGTGTGAAACAATCGCGGCGCGCGGATCTCAGGTTTGGACGCTCATTCTGGGGACCTCCCTGGAGGCACTCGCTCCACTCGTGCGTCCACGCTGTGCCGAACGTCCGTCGATTCGAGTCGACCTTGAGTCGAACATGAGTCGACCCTGAGTCGAAATTGAGTCGAGCTTGAGTTGAATTTGAGTCGAACTGGGGTCGAACATACCTGTCAGAGTTGGGCCAGAGGAAGGTCACCCAAAGAGCATCTAATCAGGATGCCCCCTCCACTACCCGCTCCATCCTCGTCGGGAGCGTCAGAAAGAGGGGCGACCACATGGCCAGAGAAGGCATGAGCGCGGACGAGGGGGGGGGAACCAGGAGACGTCTTGAAAGAAGGCGAAGGTTGCATGAAATCCGGAGATATGTCATGGAGCCTGATTTTGTTTTAGACTCTGGCAAGTTTACTTGCATGGACGGGGGGGGGCTGAGCCTGAAGCAAGCCCGGGGGGGGGGGGCGCGGAAATCACGCAAGTCGAAAGGCACTTGCACGATAGTATTCGCTTGAAGAGGGCGAGGGGGGGGGGGGGGGGGGGGGGGGGGGGTGGGGGGGGGGGGGGCGAACGCCATGCAAGTAAACTTGCCTGAATCAAAAAAAAAGCAGGCTCATGCCCCTCGCCATGACAATTACCCCCCACCTTAGCCGCTCTGCAACTGAATATCTTTCCGGGGGCTCATTGAGGGTTGCCAACACCGACACTACTCGGCAAAT